TGTGAGCAACAGTGTGTCTTTGTCTTCTAAGTGGGGCATTATCCAAGACTGCGGTAACAGTAACCATTTTCCTATCTACCCTAATTTAAATATAGCGAATCTTAAAGGAGCAGAAAGGATCCTACAGAAACCATACAATACAAGAAATACTAAAAAAGCTGACTGGAACACCTATTACAAGAACATACTGTTAAACAAGCAAAACCTGTCAGAATCACAACTAGAAAGATTTTCTTACAGTCATAAACACAGCTGCAGATGAAGCATTGCCTTTTAAAAATTGTGGGATACAGGGCAAACCCAGGAATCCATAGTGGAACGAAGAGTGTTCCTTATGGATCAAAACACAAAAAGAAGCAATCTCTAATTTTAATAAATCCCCCTCAAATTCTCCCGAAAATTTCACAGAAACAAAACGCATTATCGCTATGACAAGGAGGAACTTAAAATAAAAAAAAAAATACAAATTTAAACATTTTTGTGAATCTTTAAACATATGACCAAATATCACTTACGTTTGGAACAAAATTAAAAATTTTTCCAATTATCACAATAATAGAGTTTTTCATAGCCCCCCAAATAACATTAAACTAGAAATATTAGACAAAATGTCTTCAGTAATCATGTCCTTCAGAATAGGTCATAAGATAACCAAGAAGTTGCTCACTTTTCAATTCATGAATACAATTTGGCGTTAAGTAATAAAAAAGATTCTGCGCCAGGTATCGATGACATATCCTTTTTAATGCTATAACATTATAACATAATTAACATCATAAAGCCTTAAAAAAATCCTATTTTATAGTTTTATAATTCTGTGTACTTAAAACTCTTGAAATCGTAATAAAAAATCGTCTGGATTGGTTTATGGAACACAATTCAGTATTTAAAATTAATCAATCAAGTTTCAGGAAGGGTATAGGGACATAATATGATAACTTAGCTTTTTTACACTCTACGATTTTAGAAGTCTTTGAATCTTCTCAAACGGTATTAGCCATTTTTCTAGATACTAAATCAGCCTATGACAATGTAGAAATATACAACCTTTATAATAAACTCAAAAATCTAAACATCCCCATTACAAAACAAACTCTTATATTCGAGATCTGATGACGTCAATTTCTTGGGACCATATCAAACTTACAAGGTACTCCCTCAAGGTTCTTCCTTAAGCACCATTGTTTTTAACATATACATTCATGACCTTTTCTACTTATTCTCTAACGAAGTAAAAATATGTGAGTATCCAGATGATCTAGTTTTGTACATTAGCGGTCAAGACATTCACAATATGATAAATAAGATCATACCAGCAATTAAAATCATTCAAAATTGGCTAGAAGCCCATGGGCTGTCCATTTCAATTGATAAATGTGAAGCGGTGTGGTTCACAAAAGGACAACGCAAAACCAAACCTTCCATTAATCTCTCTTAATAATAACAATAACATTCCCTTTAAAAATCAAGTTAATTTCTTGGGCATCACCTTGCATAAAAACTTGAAAAGGGATCCTCACATTGATAAAATTGTACTTAAAGCAAAGAAAAACATCATCATATTGAAAGCATTATATGGAGTTTGGTGGGGTGCAGATTCTAAAACCCCAACTATGATCTTTAATGCTTTAGTTAGGCCTTATATGGATTATGGTTTCTTTATATTCAGCCAAATAACGCAGAAATGCAGCAATATCTTAAATAAAGTATTTTTCGAAGGGCTAAAAATCTGCCTGGGGTGTATGAAGTCCACTCCGCTCATGGCAATCTTAACTTAACCTGCTCAGATTGACCTGGAACATAGTAGCCTAATACTAGTCGCTAAATTTATATCTAAAATTATTAAAATCGATAATTACCCACTAATAGTGACACTTCTTAATATACGTAGAAAAATCATAAATTAACTAATTTTTCACAAGGCAAATCTCGTACCTCTCCTTTTTATGGTTCTTGAACATTTTCTCCCTTATCAAAATAAAATACATAAACACCCAAACTTTTCTTGTTATGACTCAGATTTTAACACACTAACCAACCAATTACAGACGTTAAATTGTAATATTAAGAAAAATGAATCATCAACCTAACAAAAATTCTCAATAATCACCCAAAAATACAATAGGGATTTTTCCTTTGTATATACTGACGCCTCAAAAAACAAGAGGAGAATAGGATTGGAATCAATATTCCCAACATTAACTTCAAGTTTTCTTCTAGTCTTCCTAGCAAGATATCTATAACAAAAGCCGAAAATGTGGCAATTTACGAAGAAATTCAAATTTTATTATCTTAAGGCATCAAGAAGGCTGTTGTCTTCTCTGACTCTCTAAATACTATAACTAAAATTAAAAATCCTATAATCTCAGCTTCTGATGACTGAATCTCCCTCAAAACTAAAAATCTCATCTCATCAGCAGTTAAGAAGGGTTTTGACATTTTAATCTCATGAATTCCAGGTCATTCTGATATTCCTGGTAATGTAGAAGCTGACCTGCCAGCCAAAATAGAAACAAACTTGAATATTCTCTGAGGTGTGTTATTAGATTCCCAAGATATTCTAAAAGCCATAAAGGAAAAAATTATTGATAAATTTAAAATCAATTGGGAATTTAAAATCAATTGGGAACAACTACCAATACAAGAGAATCCAAACCGCTTTCTCCTTTAAGGCATGATTCTCAACGATAACATTTAAAAACAGAAGACATATCACCACAATAATAAGAATGAGAACAGGTCATTGCTTAACAAAACATCATCTTTTTAAAATTAAAATAATAGACAGTCCGGCATGTGAATGCGGAGTAGTGAAGGATTTAAACCACATTACCACTCAACCACTCAACTTTAATTCAATGATAATATTTGTATTATTATTAACTACTTAACCTCAAATTTAAAAATTCGGACAAAAATACTACCACCTTACGCGAATGTCAGCGGCCCTGATATGGTTTAGAACCAGAATACATCACGGTCGCCATCAAATAGTGCTGGCGAATCGCCTCGTAGCGAAGCCATAAAAAACAGAAGAAGAAAGAAAAATAATCCCATGCAGAAAGACCACTGAGGTTATTAACGCCATGCTATCCAACAGATGCTTTAAAGTTATATTGGGAGACAAGACTAGTACCCAAAGAAAACTGAATAATGGACTTCCACAAGGATCCGTGCTGGCCCCCTTGCTTTCCAGCCTCTATATAGCAGACATGCCAGAAACCACATCAAAAAAGTTTGGATACGCAGACGACTGGACGCTTGCCGCAAGTCATAAAGAATTCGAGGTCACTGAACGCATTCTAACAAACGATTTAATGCCCTAGGGAATTATTTCCGCAAAATGGAGATTGCAACCCAATCCAACTAAGACAGAAGTATCCTGCTTCCATTTATATAACAAGAAGGCCAACTATCAACCTCAAATCAATTTTGGGGATAGACTCCTTTAAATATAATAAACACCCAAAATACTTAGGTGTTACACTTGACAGAACGCTGAACTTTAAAGAGATCTTACTAAGACTGCTGCAAAACTCCGAACTCGTAACAACATCCTGCAAAAGCTCTGCGGCATACATGGGGCTCCTCAGCACCCACACTTAGATCGACAGCATTAGGACTGGTATACCCCGTAGCGGTAATACTGTGCACCAGTATGGATAAACAGTCCACATAATCACTGTGTTGATGTCCAACTCAACCAAGCCATGCGAACTATATCGGGCACAATCAAGGCCACGCCCACTTACTGGTTACCAGCTTTGAGTCATATAGCTCCACCACCCATCCGCCGGGAACATGCCCTTGTCAGAGAATTTACAAAAATCAATACTGATCCTAAGCTCCGCTCCCATGTCGGAACTTCCGCCAGAGACATAAATAGGCTCCGTTCAAGACACCCGCCTCTAAAAACGGCAAAAAGGTTAGTAGATCAAAACTTTAATGTAACTGAACGGTGGAGAGAACAATGGGAGAATAACGCTGCACCAGCTAACTGGAACATGCCATGTATTACAAGCAAACCTGAGGGCTTCAACCAACCGAGACGAATTTGGACCACACTCAATAGAATAAGGACGAACTGTGGCAGATGTTCCGACTCACTTTTCAGATGGGGAAAAATACAATCACCAAATTGCGACTGCGGCGCCGAAAGGCAAACAGTAAAACACATGGTAGAGGAATGCCCGATTAGATCCTATAATGGCAACCCTTCAGATTTCCTGGTGCTACAAAAGAGTCAATCGAAAATATTTATAATCTAGATGTTTGTTTGTAGAATAATATTTTTATATTTACTGTTGTTTGTAATTTATATAATTTATATTTATATATTTATATTTATATGAACCTGTGATGTAGCATACGCTAAATAAATACAGAATAAGAAGAAGAAACCCTCCGTGGATAATAATTGTCTTTCTAGTTATTGTAACACCTTTAAGTCTACGCTCAATTCTTCTTTAATACTAATTTGATTTGGCCCCTTTTTGTAACAAATAAAATCTCTTCCTACAACAAAATACAAATCATATTTTGTATTTGGAGAACAATTTTGAATTTGAAATCGAAATGTGAAAATAAACTTATTTTAAAGTAAAGTTGTAGCTTAATCACAATAGCAGTAGTAAATTAAATATTATTTGGGATATAATGAAACAATATGATGTAATTTTATTTCATATTAAAAATGAATTACATTCCGGTTCAAAAATTAAAACCTCATCATTTTTAATTCCGGTGAACCTGGTGTTTACCAAAACCTGTTTTATATACATACATTCATGTCACCAGAACTTTTTTTTTAGTCCAACTGCCTACAATATCTGAAAAGATTCAAGGATTTTTTTAATATAATAATTATGTATCATTATGGTACAACTTTACGATAAGATATTCAAAACATTAGTCATCGTCATAGTTATAAAACGATTTTATATAAATATCACCTTCATAAGAGATACAGGTGCAGGTTTTGAAAGCATATATTATTAGTTAGTTGTAATATTTATAATGGCGCATACTTATAAAGTAAAATACTTTAACTTTACCGCAAGGGGTGAACCGATTCGAATGCTTTTAAGCTATGGAGAAATTCCATTCGAAGACGAACGTATTTCCAGGGAAGACTGGCCTAAAATAAAACCATGTAAGTAGAATTTATTTAATAAATAAATTCTAACGTTATCTTCAAACGGTTTTATAATTATATTAAAATTTTTATTAGCTTTAGTATGCTACAAAATATTGTTATTATTAATTATCATCGGAGTATAGTAATTTGTTCGATACTGGCTAAAGACTTGGTTGTTTAAATAAAAAAAAAGTAGTTCCATTTGGTTATTGGTTGTGAACTTTGCATTAACTGTACAGGGTATGGTTAGCCTTAGCTTATTTTGTACTATTCTCTGTTTCTAGTCAATATTCTATATTAATTTATAATCCTAGTTGCATTAATAAGAATCTATGTACATTATGTATCATTATTTTCTTTGCAACTAGCGCTGTCTTTTTTATTAAGGTAATCAGTAAATTGCTGCTTGAAATCTTCTAGACCAGCGATTCTCAAACTTTTCTTTACACGTACCACTTATATAAATTCAGTGAGAAGGATGGTTCTGCATAGCTAGAACAAGGGATCAATTTTGCTTAATTTCATTCGTAAATTTGTATCAACGTTAAACCTACTGCGAAATTGATTTTTCACTTGTAGCATAGCAGAAAATCCAGTTTCACACAGGTAGGTGGTCGTAAAAGGAAGTAAAAATAACAACGCTTTTTTTGATAAGGCTTGATATTCATTTGTAATATTTAACCACAATTCGGCAAATTCTAATTTTGAAAACTCTATTTTCAAATCCCCAACAGAAATAGTTCTATTAAACTCTTTTTCTTATTGTTTTAATGTTTCAGGAATGCTATCCAAAATAAATGGTTGTCGTATCCAAAGAAACTGAGAATAGTCTTCGTCACACAATTCTTTAAAACTATCAATTAGCATTTCACAATGCTGTTTTATGTTAAAGATCATCCTTAATCTTTATTTCATGCTCAACTTTAAAACACTGTTTTTCATCATATAACATTTCTTGATGAAAGCATTCATTTTGTCGCTTACAGAAAATCGATTATGTGATTTACCTTGTAAGCTTAAGTTTAGATCATTTAATCGATTAATATGTCTGTTAAGTAAGCTAGTGTTGTGAGTCACAATTCATCTAGTAACTGATCATGCAGTTCAAAATTGGTTTTCAGTAAAAATACATGTACTTCAGAACGCAACTCGAATAACCTGTTCAACATTTTTTCTTCTGATAGCCATCTTACCTCTGTGTGTAGTATAACTGAATATGATCACTTCCCATTTCATAGCATAATTTTGAAAAGAAACGCGAGTTTAAGGCTCGAGATTTTATGAAATTGACTATCTGAACGGATTCATGGAGAGCATGTTTAAATTCAACTGGCATTTGCTTTGCTACCAAAGCTTCTCTGTGTCTCAAACCAACGTATTGTTTTCAGTCTAGTCTAGTTTCCACAAAAAAATCATTGATTTCCTTGAATATTTCATCGGCAGTAGTTCCTTCCGTTAACGCCTCACAAAATAAGTACTTTTCTTCGATTTTGGTTTGAAATATATATCGCACATAAATCATAAGCTGAGCATAGTTTGATACATCTGTGCTCTCATCAAGTTGTATTACAAAAAAATACTAAGTATTTTTTATCCAGTTAACAAATTTTTCTTTAACATTTAATGCCGTTATTTCAAACCACGACGTACGGTGTCATTGAATAATGGTATAATACTAATATAACCGGTTTACCTAAATTCTCACCAAAATACACGTTACCATACCTTGCGCGGCAGGCAGAATTAGTTATTCACCGATGGTATGTGCTTTTTCACACTTCATAATTCTTAAACTCACGAGAAAGGATGCCTTTACTGTTTTTCGATTGCTGCCGGTAAAATTCGACATAAATTCGTTGTGCCTCTCATCTCCGTTAACTTCCAAACGAAGTAATTCTTAGGTTTATTTTTCAATACTCAATGTTTTGTATTGAAGTGGCGTTTTAATAGCAAAGGTTTCATACACTGGTTAGAAAGAATTTCCGAACAGGTTACACATTGGGGCCTTGGCACATCATTTATATTCGTGAATGTAAATCCCATAATAAGAAAATAGGATCATATTTCCTAACTTTTCTTTTTTGAAAGAACTCTTTTTGTCATCAGCCTGTATAGGCTCCGACTCTGAGGTGGAGCTCGATGGACTGGGATTTTCAGATGTTCTGTTGTCTCTTTTAAGCCACTTATCCATTTTTTAAATGCAAAAATTAGCACGAATCAGTAACAGCAAAATACTCGTTTCGACAAAACCAACCACAACGACTTACGGCCACGAGGAAACTGATGACGTGAATCGAGAATGGACGTGAATCAAGGGCGGTGATAATTTGCCGTGATTCCTCTGTTGTGGTTTCAAACTCACAGCGTTGCCATGCACAACGTAAAAGATAACATTTGTTAGTAAATTTTATGAAAATTCTTCGTTTCTTCTAGTTTATAATGTACCACCTTTAAGTGCTTTCGCGTACCACAGTTTGAGTACGGCTGTTCTAGACAGTAATTATTCATCGTTACAACTCATTTGTCGAACTTTATTGCCGATTGATATTTTGTAATCAACCTCTATATTCGTATATAGCAATTTTATGATGTGGTGTATGCGTTAGCATAGGTCATGAATGTAAGTATAATAGCATTTGGTTGTTCCGTAAAGCAGTTGACCCATTTAGGTTTTTGTTCTAATCTTTTTGTATACGGTTCAGTTTTATATTTTCCTAGACATTTTTTCACTTCGTGCTAGAGTGTTGAAGTTGTGTGTGTGAGTGGTCGAATAGTTTTTTATAGCAGGTTTATTTATGGGATTACCTTTTTTAAAACAATTTCTCTTTGAAGTATAAAAGTGGCAATGTACAAGACAATTCTTATTTCTTTAAGTCGTCTATTATTCGTGTTGGTGAAACTGAAAAGGGTAGTCCTCTTACCATAAATTTTATTTCTCTTAACCATTTACGTACAACTAAACTTTCTTTCGTTTTTAAACTCTGTTAAAGTCATCCATATTATTGATATTGATCTTTTGTTCGCAATTATTTAATTCCTGAAGATATTCACGTGACTTCAATTAATATAGTTCTAATTTTAGCTGCTTGCAGAGCTGTTTAAAATTTATTGTAATATACATTTTTATGGCAATATGTATGACTACCATACTTTCACATTTAGAAATTTGGTGTCTTAGAATGAATTAGTGTTTAGAAATCACATTTTTAGTAAAATATTATTTTTAACTTTAGCTACTCCTCTTGGACAGCTTCCAGTGTTGGAAATTGATGGAAAACAAATTCCTCATAGTGTCTCCATTTGTAGATATTTAGCTACAATAGTGAAACTTGATGGAAAAGATGCTAAAGAAAATCTAAGAATTGATGTTGCAGTGGAAACCCTTCTAGATTTGCAAAAACGTAAGTAATAATTTTTTTAGTTTTAATTAGCAATTTTTTTCAAATCGAATTTGTTTCAATTATTCACAGAATATTTTTAACAAAAACTAGAAAACTGTAATAGGTTTTTGGTTTGCCAGTCTATTTGAGACGTACAAGTATTGTAAATTTTGTACTGATCTGAAGAAATTCAGACCAAAATGGACATTTTCCATAGGAAGCTATTTTTTTGCTGAAATCCCTTCAGGATGTGCCCAATATCGATAATCACGATATGCGCCAGTGGCAAACCTTGTGCTAAATTTTTTATTTAACAAAATCTGAAGACAATTAAAAATTTCCCATTTTTTTCTCCTATTTTCGTTTATAATTTGAAAAATATTGATCCTAGAGAAATAATTATACGAAGTTAAAAATTTCGTTACTCAATTTTACACAATATTTCGTTAGCTAGAAATTGAAAATTTAATGTTTGTTATTGAAAAAATAGCAATAATTTGAAAAAAAAAAGTACAAAAAAATGAAGTTAATCCTTTAAATGTTTTCGACTTTCTAAACATGAAACTCATGCTCTATATTCCGCCTAGAAAAACTATTTAATATGTTTAAAACGTGTGCTAAATTTCGTTAAGATCGGCCGGATATTTTTTGCATAATAATTTTGCAATCCAGCCTACTGGAAAAAATCGCAAATTTTCTAATTTATAGTAGGCCCAAATAAGGCTCTCAGATAGTCGCAAATTTTTTTACGTATAAAGAAAGGCTCAAACTTTTAAACGCTTTTTGTAAAATTTAAATCGGTTCACTAGGAGAGCCTAGAAAATTTTTAAAAGTTTTAAACATTTTTTAGGCTCGTAAACAAATTGAATAACTTCAAAATAATATCATAATATAATTATATTTGAAATAATTTCAAAATTTATATACTTAAAGAACATTAAAAGACACTATATAAAAAAAGATACATTCAGCTTACTGGTTGCCGAGATATTGAAGGTCAAATTTGGCATACATTTGCCTTGTAACCCTAAGTGATAGAGGGCTCATTTTTAAACAAATACCCTCGTATTGTCAAGTACTTTTAATATTAAAAATTTTGCGTAATCCGCTTTATGGCAAAATCTATAAAAAAGACAAATAAAAAACCGTTTTCGCGTAAAATGTCGCTCGGAATGCATGAGAGGTGCTGGTGGGGGACATTCACTCGAAATGTGAATCAGCGAGATCAAAATCATAGCGCGCGCTAAAAATTGCATTATCTCGGCTACTTGTTAACTAACTTTGCTCTTTTTTTTGAATCGATGTCTCGGACGACAAGGATTTCAAATATCATATTTTCAAATACCATTTTTAATTGCAATTTTCCCAATTTCGTTCGCCTTTGTTTTAACAATTTAAATTATTTATTAACAATTTATAAATACATATTTGTTTACTAAAAGTATAGATTGCAAGCTCAAAAAAAAAAACATTTTCGAGTATTACACAGCACTATAATAAGACGTACAATATACACGTCATTTTCGAATCAAAATATATTCTCTCAAATCAAATAATGTCATTATTATGATAAAACTGCAGAAATAAAGTATTTTTAATATTAATTATTTGTTTTAAACAATTCAAATTATTTATTAACAATTTATAAATACATATTTGTTTACTAAAAGTAACAATTTATTTCAATGTATAAATTGCAAGCTCAAAAAAATTCAATTACTTGTTTAATATAAAATTGTTTATTGCAAATTTCCCAATTTGCAATTAACAATGGTATTTTAAAATATTTTATTTAAAATCCTTGCCGTCTGAAACATTGATAAAAAAACACAGCAAAATTGGTTAACAAGAAGCGAGATAATGTAATTTTTCTCTCATGCATTTCGAGCGACATTTTACGCGAAAACCGTTTTTTTAATTTGTCTTTTTTATGGATGTTGCCACGAAACGCATTACCTAAAACTTTTCATATAAAAAGTACTTGACAAGACGAGGGTATTTGTTTAAAAACGAGCCCTCTATCACTTATGGTTACACAGCAAATATATGCCAACTTTGACCTTCAAAATCTCGGCAACCAGTAAGCCGAATGTATTTCTTTTAAAGAAGCGTCTTTTACTGTTCTTTAAGTGTATAAATTTTAAAATTGATATGTTTAAAGCTCGTAACGGTATTCAATTTGTTTATAAACTTAAAAAATGTTTAAAACTTAACTTAAAAAATTTCTAGGGTCTCCTAGTGAACCGATTTGAATTTTACAAAAAGCGTTTGAAAGTTTAAGCCTTCCTTCTATGTAAAAAAATTTTATTTTTTTATTTCGGGACCTACTATAAATTTGAAAATTTGCGATTTTTTCCAGTAGGCTGGATTGCAAAACTATTATGCAAAACTTATCCGACCGATCGTAACAAAATTTAGCACACGTTTTATACATATTAAAAAGTTTTTCTAGGCGGAATATGGAGTTAAGTTTAGAAAGTCGAAAACATTTATAGGATTAACTTCATTTTTTTGTACTTTTTTTCCCAATTATTATAAAATTAAATATTATTATTATTAAAATTAAAATTATAAAAATTAAATTTTCAATTTCTATTTAACTAAATATTATGTAAAATTGTATAAAGAAACTTTTAACTTCGTATAATTTTTTCTCTAGGATCAATATTTTCCGAATTATAAACAAAATAAGAGCAAAAAAATGAGAAATTTTTAATTCTTTTCAGATTTTGTTTAATAAAAATGTAGCACAGGGTTTGCGACTGGCGCATATCGTGATTATCGATATTGGGCACATCTTGAAGGGATTCCAGCAAAAATAGCTTCCTATGGAAAATGTGCAATCCAAAACAGATCCCGCCTAGACTATTATACATACATATACATACGTAATATTAATAAATGAAATAAAAAGAAAAATACAAAAAAGGAAATGGAAATAATAAATTCACCAGCAATTTTACTCTTTATTCAGGGCCGTAACCAACTTAAGCTGATTTGTAGTAGTAGACAAGGTTATTTTTCAAACTAAGGTGCCCTTTCTTACAATACAAAACGGGCAACGGTAAGGGAGGATCTTGTAGATTTAAAATTCAGTATTATAAATATAAAAATCTCTAAAAAAGGGGGCTCTTAGAAAACTATTTTTTATTACTCGAGCTTTCAATTTTGGTTATAATAATTTTCAAGAGCTAAAAGAAAAATACAAATCTTCTGATAAAGTGGAACGAAAAGTAGTAACTCACCAAATAAAATTAGGTTTGTTAACAAATTTGCTGAAAAACGTATTTTAAAAAACATTGTTATAAAAAGTTTTACAGAAAATTCGTTAACAAACCTAATTTTGTTTAGTGAGTTACTACTTTTTTAATCGCGTCACTCCTGTATAATACAATATACAATACATTATACAATACAATACAATATAATATACAATACATTATACAATAGTGTAAGCCGCACATTGCTTCTAAGACTTGCAGGAGATGACTCCGTCTTTTCTTTGTTTTCTTTTTCTCTGTCGTCTTCCTTCATGGGTTGTTGTGTGATTTTGCCAATTGATGATTAAGCTTCTTTTCTTTCTATTTTTTATTTTTGTTTTCCAATTAGGTATCTTCATTTTCTAGATATCTAAATCTGCACTTTGGCATAAAGAGCTATGTCTTATAAATGTATCTTCTTATCGTCTTAGTACATGCCCGAGCTATTTTAATCTTTGAGCCTTAATATGTCTGACTATATGTTTTCCATTTATCTGATTATTCACCTTGTTTTTAAATAATCGTCTAAACTCTCCGTCTTTGATTTTTTTGGTCCAAGAATTCTTCTTATGATCGTCTTTTTTGTTATTATTAGCTTCTCTTCGTCTCTATTAATCAGGCTCATTGTCTCTATTGCGTAGGTTATAACAGGTGTAGTCCTGTTTTATATATTTTCATTTTAGTGTTTTTGCTCATATTTCTGCTCATATTTCTGCCCATGTCCTCCGTTAGTAGTTTTTGGAATGTCCAATATGGACATTTAGAAAACTAACATATTTTTTTAGACAGTTGTTCTTTTAATTTCGTATTCATACTCGACATCTTGAACTTGGGAGGTTTTATCATATTTAAAACGCCACGCTTGCCGAGCGGGTTGTTTAGTAATTTTATCACCATCATCATCATCCAGCCTCTATTTATCACGTCCACTGCTGGTTATAGGCCTCCCTTAAACTCCTCCATTCCTCACGATTTTGTGCTCTTTGTTGCCAATTTTTAGTGATACGCCTGATGTCGTCGGCCCAACGTGTAGGTGGTCTTCCTCTACTGCGTTTGTCTGCTCTTGGCCTCCAATTTGTAATTTTGCTCGTCCATCGTGAATCGTGCATTCTCGCTACATGGCCTGCCCAGTTCCATTTTAGTTCCACTATGCGTTCCACAACATCAGTAATACTCGTCCTTCTTCGCAGATCTTCGTTTCTTATTCGGTCCCTCAACGTCACTCCCAGCATAGACCGTTCCATTCGTCTCTGTGCCACTCTCAGTTTCGAAGCCGTGGTCTTGGTTAAAGTCATAGTTTCCGCCCCATAGGTCATGACCGGTAATACGCATTGGTCAAACACTTTTCTTTTGAGGCTGATTGGTATGTTGACCCTAAGTGTGTCTCGCAGTTTTTCAAAGGCTGCCCATGTTAAAGTAATTCGTCTTTGGATCTCACATGTTTGGTTATCCCTTCTTCTTCTTCCTATGCCGTCCCCATTAACGGAGGTTGGCGACCACATTTTTAAAAGCTTCTCTGTCTTTTGCAACGTGGAATAATTCGTCTACAGTCATGTTTGTCCAGTCTCGAATATTTCGCAGCCATGACTTCCTTTTTCTACCTATTCCCTTTTTGCCATCGACTCTACCCTGCATGATGACCTGCAGAAGACTATATTTATTATTTCTTAGTATGTGTCCAAGGTATGCAGTCTTGCGTACTTTTATCGTTCTCAACAATTTTTTGACTCGACCCATTCTTCTCAGCACTTCCTCATTGGT